ACTCACAAGGATACTAGGGTTAGAAGTGCGATCTTCAAGAAATAGGGTTTTAGTTTTTATTTGAGAAACTCGCCACGATTTTAGTCGTATGCATACGTATCCTCTTAAGAGGAATCAGAGTCGCAATTCGTAGTTTGCAGTGGATTAGTATTTTTTATGGATTACAAAGGTATTTGAATTTCCTGTGTACTTAGTATATGTGTGTGAATAGCGGAGTTTGTTAGACGAAGCGCGCGGTCGATTGAAATATATTTATAATCCTTTTTTAAATTTGATTGTTGTTTAATTTAATTTGAAAAAGAGTTTCGCGTTGGTTAATGCATGCTAAAAAATATTTTAGTGCAAATGAATAAATAAATATTAGATGAGCTTAGAAAAACTATTATTTGATTTAATAATAATAATAAAATTTATAAATATATTAAAATATAAAAATAATTATAAATAAAATAAAAAAATAAAATGATTAAAAAACACAAGGGGGTGCAAATAATGTTAGGTTAGTAAAAATAGGGTGTGTGTGTATAATAGGGTCCTGAATTCAGATATTGAATTCAGGCCCAACGCAGGGGAGGGATGTTTTTGAGTTGCGCAGTAAAACTGGGGATGTGAGCAGTAGGGCCCAAGTCCAGATTTTGGACTTGGCCCATTAGGCTGGGGGTGAAGTTTTGTGCGTGATAAGAAAAATAAAAAATAAATGCATGATAGTTATCACCGGATAAGGCCGGAGTCACGCACACTGTTGATGAATTCTTCGATGGATGCACATAATAAGGATCAAGTTGATCCTGAACTTGATTATTATTGTTGTTTCTCGTCATTGATCAAGAACAAAAAATGAAGATAGAAAAACGAAACAAATCGAAACCGATGCTTTAATAAAAAGAAATCACTATGGAAATGAATGCAAGATTGAAGAAACTTTAAATCACAGCGGAAACAGAGCAGGACGAACCTGATCTGATACCATCTAAGTAATCTAAATCCACATGAAAGTGGTGCAAAACTCTATTGATGAAGCAGAAATTGTAGGAAGAATGAAGAATAAAGTAAAAGAACGAAGGAGAATATTATGCATTCATCACTTGAGAAGAAGTTACAATGTGGTTTATATATTTAGGTGGAGTTAGTTACATCAATTTGATAACACCATCGATTGCTCAAAGTGTGGTGTTTATTGATAATGTGGTAGATATGTGGAATAATCTCAAAGATCGATTCATGAGAGGCGATCACATTCGTGTGGCTCAACTGCACCAAGAAATTTCAAATCTGAAACAAGGTAACAAGAAAATTTCATATTATTTCACTGAGTTAAGAAGTCTGTAGGAAGAACTGGATCAAAATCGACCTATGCCAAGTTGTATATGTCGCATAGTTTGTGCTTGTTTAGCAATGTGAAACAATAGAAGTTTTAGAGTTGAAGATGTAATAATTCAATTTTTGATTGGGTTGAATGAGGAGTTTCATGGAGTTGTGTCATAGGTTTTATTAATGGATCCTTTGCCACAAATCAGCAAAGTGTTTTCAATGGTTATTGATGGGAAAAATATTAAGTGTATTATTTTTGTCTCTTGTAAGAATAAGGAGATTCCTCGAATGTCGATCTCAAGGACTGCATATCAGTATTGAGTTTAATTTAAGGTCTAATTAGACAAAACTTGAATTTGGGATTTTGGTTTGGTAATTGTGACTTAACAATAATTAAAAATATGCAAAATGTAAATTATGACTTTCTACTAGTATGAATACTATGCTAGGGGTGAGTGTGTGATTTGCCCCGTAATGACCTTTACTCTTGATCTCTTCAACAAGTTCATTACCTTCAACTACCGGCCCTTTAGATTATCTTCCCCCATCCTAAATCATAAGTCCTTAGAGATATCTGATGGAGTCAAGCATGTTAAATCCGGTGATTATAGGGTATCCCTAGTGCTAGGTGATATCTACTATAGCCTAATCGTACAAAAACCTTAACAACCGCGGTCCAACTGGTTGTTAACTGTAAATCAATCATAATTGGTCCGATCAGGAAAGCATTAGAAACATTGAACGGTTAAATTGAAAGGAAACTATTGTATTAAAAATCAATAATTCATAGTCATTACACTGCAAAACAGGGACACCCCCTAACATTGGGGGGTTTAGCCGCACATAATATTCAAAGAAATTACAATAAGAAATTTAGACATTACAAGATAATTGAATTCCTTTGATCTTCAATCGCGACTGCTCTTGAAAAATCTCCGTCCTCAGAATCCCTTGAAAACTTCAATTTTTATCGTAGAATTCTTCTCCTGTCCAAAAGTCCCTTTATTCCTTGTGAAAACTCATTTAAATAATCACCATTCATCCAGGTTGATTGAAAGTACCCAAAATGCCCTTACACCTTAACATATGGAAAAAGCATGAAAAAAAAATCAGGAAATCAACGTCATAAGCCGACACGGGCCGTGTCACTTGACACGAGCACCCGTGTCAGTCTCTCTATCGAACCAATCAAATCCTCTCGCCCAAACCTTCTGACACGGGCCGTGTCAGCTGACACGTGCACCCGTGTCAGCCTCTGTCATTTCTCCAAAACTATCTGATATGCATCCTCTCCTGACACGACCCATGTCAGGCAACACGTGTGGCCGTGTCAGGCACCCTGTAGCTTGGTTTTTGAGACTTCCTTCGAAACTCCAAATTTTGCACTTTCACATTGATTTTCCTGGTCTTATTCTTCTGAGCCTGAGAACAATAAAATATACAACCAACGCATAACACGCGATAAAACAAAATAAAAAACTCGATAAGTAGAAGAAACAATAGCTAAATTAACTGCTAAATATCTATGTCAAAACCACTGATCAAACTCCCCCAAACTTAAACCGTTGCTTGACCTCAAGCGACCATTATAAGAACTCATGAAAATCACAGCAGCCCGGTACTAATACGTGAGACATTCGTTCAAATTGATCAAAAAGTAGTTCGTCCGATGTTTACATGACGCGAAGAGTTTGTTTAAGAACCTTTAAATCTAGAGCTTCCTCTTCAAATACCTCTCTAACTATGCTTTGTACTTAAGTCTCTTTCCGATTTTCCTCCTTTTCATTCGGACAGTCAAATTAAGGCAATGAGAATTTTGATGATCATCACCTGCACAAGACTACTCAAGAATTTTTGCTTAGGAACCAAATAAGCAGCTTTGGCTACTTTTAATTACCGATGAAATTTTTAAACTTTGCAGTTATATATTGTCCTTTTTGGACGACGTTTGGGGATCAACCCCCTTTGGGCTGAATAATCGGGTGAGGGCTACCCAACTTAGCGAGCCAGTTGCCTTTTACCGCCTTTTCATCATTTGGTTCCAAATTTATTTCTTTCTCCTTCAATCATACATGCATGTGAATCTATGTTATGCCAGACTGTGAGGATAAACTACTTCAGGAGTACTTCTCAGGATTCAAGCACTATGGTACAAATCTACACGTTAGACTCGTATCACTGTCACGTTATTCTGAACTTCCTACCCTTTAATAACCACCCATTTGTCTCTATATACTATTCACGAACTCTATGAGAACCAAATTCTTGATCAAAATAATAAATTTCGGCCAAATTTGGAGGACTTCAACTCGTGGGTTTACACAGCAATTCGCATAGAACTAACAAATAATTCAAAAAGAAGAAAGATAATAACCTCCCCCAAACTTGAACTAAACATTGACCCCAATGCTTCAGAACAAGCTTGAGAAGGTGAATCACAGAGGGTAATGCAACACATGCTGATGCCTTCTAGCTTTCACCAGTAAGACTCCCTTTTTCTTACCTGCAAACAAAACTAAAAGAAAAACTAAATTATTAGAAGTGTGGGTTGCCTCCCATGAAGCGCTTTGTTTAACGTCACATAGCTCGACGGTTCATCCCCTTATGGGGGGTACTTCCTCTTGCACACCTTGTTGCTTGTCTCTTCTGCAATCCAGAACTCATTCAGATCAAAAGTATTAGCCTACTTGTGCTTCCAGCCACTTCCAACTTCCATCTTCTCAGCTCGGCGTTCCTTCTTCTTTCTCTTCTTTCCTTCTTGACTGAGCTTAGGAATTTTTATTGGGGCCACCTGAGAGATTTTTCTTAAGACTTCTTTTGGGAGTGATTTTGAACTGTTGCCTTCTCCTTCTACTTTGATCATTCCGACTGAAGATTTATTCTTTCCACCTACACTTTACTTCTCGATTTCCAACACCTTCAAGGTTATCTCCTCATCAAATGATTTCACTGTCAGATTACCTGTCTCGATATCAAAATTGTATCGACTAGTCAGCATAAATGGTCGACCAAGAATGATAGGAGTCTCTTCATCTTCAGGTATATCTATGATCTGAAAATCATCTAGGAAAACGAAATTGTCAATTTCCACTAAAACATCTTCAGCTATCCCAAATGACTGTTTGATGGTGCAATCAACAAATTTCAATTTTGTCCCACTCCCGCTAATCTTCTCAATACCGAGCTTCTTGAAAATCAACAATAGCAACACACTCACACTAGAGCCAGAATCAACCAGAACCCTCTTGAAAGTTTTGTATTTTATGGTGCATGGTATTGCAACTGACCCCATATCCTTTTGCTTGACAGGTACTTTTTTCTCGGGTGTGATTGCACATAATTTCTCATTCACATGTGCCTGTTTATTTTCTGTTGGTCTCTTTTTTGATAGTACCTCTTTCATGAATTTCTGGTACAAGGGCATCTTCTCGAGTGCTTCAAAGAACGGTATGTTGATCTCCATATTTTTAAACAATTTGACAAATTTATCAAACTCTTTCTCTTTCATGTCCTTCTTTGCCACTCGAGATGGATACAACAACTTGATTGCTGATTTAGTTTTCTCTTTAACTGGATTCATAGGCAATATCACTTCTTCCTGTTTGTTCCTGTTCTCTCTCACTTCCAGCTCTACTTCTATGATATTGTCATCAAACTTCACCTCATCTTCTTCTTCTCTATCCACTTTCTCACTCCTTGTTTTGACAACATTCAACATTCTCATGACTTTTCTGACTTTCTTGTGCTCGCAGCGCTACCTGTTGTGCAATCTGTCCCATTTGAACTTCCAAATTTTCTATTGCAGCTGTGGTATTCCTGTAATTACTCCTTGTCTCTTCTTGAAATTGAGAAGTGTGAGCAGCAATCTTTTCAATAACCACCTCCCACTCTGCCTTCTGAGGAGCTTGTTGCTGCTGATCTGTCCAAGAGAAGTTAGGATGATTCTTCCACCCAGGATTATATGTGTTAGAATATGAGTTATTTTGCCTCAAGAATTTTATCTCCTCAATTTGTTGTGGAGTTGCAAGACATTGCACAGTAAGGTGCGGTCCACTATAAATTTCACAAGCAACCTTCTGTACCTGTTGAACTTGGGCTACATGTTGAGTACCCATGTTCATTGCTTTCAGCTTCTTCTCCATATCTACAGTAATAGCCTCTTCAATTTTTAGTTGCTTATTCACTTCCAACTTCAAATCAATCACTCCCCCTGGTTTGCTTACAACTCTGTCAGATAGCTCTAAATGCTCATTTGCATCAATGACTTCAATAATCTTCTTCACACCAGTGGTTGTTATAAAGTTGGATGAGCCACCGACAGCTGTATCTATAAGCTGCTTTGTCTTCATTCTGAGGCGATTTACAAACATTCGTATTTGCTCAGTTTGACCCATTTCGTGAGTGGGATAGGCTACTAATAACCTCTTGAACCTCTTATAAGCATCACCTAGCGAATCTCCTTCCTTCTGCTTAAAATTCATAATATCATATCTTTTGCAAATATAAACAGAAGCAGGAAAGTACTCAAGAAAAGTCTTCTCCATCTGTTCTCAAGTGGTGATACTTCCAACAGGCAATGAGTAAAACCACTATTCAGTATCTTCAAACAGCGTGAACGAGAACATCCTTAATTTCTTGACTTCTTCAGAGTGCCCCTGAATCTTCAAAGTAGTACTCATGGTGAGGAATCTCTGCAAATGCTTATTGGCATTTTCATTGATCTTTTTGGTGAAAGATCTATTCTCGAGCTGGCAGATGGTTGAAAGATACAGTTGAAAATTTGCAACATTGACCGGTTAATTCATCTTGATGTATGGGGGGCTTTTCAATACTATTTCAGTGCATGGTTTCAAGTATTTTTTAAGTATTCTTGATGATCATAGTATACAACAATTTGTGGTTATGGTTGAAACACAGTTTAATAAGAAATTCAAAGTGGTTAGAGATGATAATAGGACCGAATTACTTATGCCTACATAGTATGCCTCAAAGGGTATTATCTATCAAAAGAGTTGTGTCTACGCACCTCAGCAAAATGGTAGAGTAGAGAAAAGGCATCAGCATATCATGAATATTAGTAGAGCTCTAATTCAAATTTGACAAAGAACTTTTGGTCATATCCAGTGCTTCATGCATTATTCCTCATGAACAAAATACCTACAAAATTCTGAAAAACAAGTCATCCTATGAAGTTGTATATGGCAGCACACCAAATTTAAGTTTCCTCATGGTTTTTGGTTGTTTGAGCTATGCCTCTACATTGCCTAACAACAGGCGCAAATTTGATTAAGGGCAAGAAAATGCACATTAGTAGATACTGCTAATCATGAAATCATTATATCTAGAAATGTCAAATTCTTTGACATGGAGTTTCCTTATCAAGATAAGTCCAATAACCATATGCCTACTAGTATATACTTAGATCATTCTTATTCTCAATCCACTGTCATTGATCATATAACTACCAATTAAAATGTCCCACCACTTCCTTCTGGACCTAATGTCCAGCCTATTATTTTTGAACCTACAGACATAGCCATTCAACCTGCAAATGTTATGCAGGATACTAATGATTCAAATATCGAAACTGTTGCAACTAATGACATTAGTTCCAACAGTAATAACCAGAACAATGATCAATTTATTTCCTCTCCTTTACCTCAACCAATTGTCACCAGAAAATCCACAAGAACTTCTCAACCACCTTCTCATTTGAAAGACTATGTTTGCAATTCCACTACCTCATCCATATGTCAATACCCTATTGCAAAATATCTTTCTTATTCCTAACTCTCACCTAAACACCAAGTCTACATTATGTCCCTTTCCTCTGAAACAGAACCAACTAGTTACCAAGTTGCTTTCAAAGATCCCAGATGGGCTAAAGCTATGCAGAGTGAGATAGATGATCTCAATAGCAATCATACATATGACTTGGTTGACTTACCCCCTAATGCCTCTCCTACAGAAAGAAAATGGGTGTATAAAATTAAGAGACATGCAGATGGATCTATAGAGAGATTCAAGGCAAGGCTTATGGCATAAAGGTTTAATCAACCAGAAGGCTTGGATTACTTTGAAACTTTTTCTCTTGTAGCCAAACTTTCCACAATTCGAGTTTTATTGGCTCTTGCTGCTATTCATGACTGGCATTTACATCAACTGGATGTAAACAATACCTTTATTCATGGAGATCTACATGAAGTTGTCTACATGAAGATGCCACAAGGTGTTCAATCTTCAAAATCATGCCAGGTTTGCAAGCTTGTAAAGTCTCTCTATGGCTTGAAACAAGCTAGCCGTCAATGGTTTGAAAAATTGACCATATTTCTTCAAGCTCAAGGTTTTACTCATGCACATGCTGATCACACTCTATTCACTAAATCTGATGCTTCCTCTTTCACATCTATTCTTGTCTATGTAGATGACATCATCCTAGATGGTACATCATTAACTATGTTTGCAGATTTAAAAAGGGCGTTGGATAGAATATTTCACATCAAAGATCTTGGCCAACTTAAATTTTTTTTAGGACTTGAAGTTACTCGATCTCATAAGGGCATTACACTTTTCCAAAGAAAATATTGTCTAGAACTCCTACAAGATGTGGGCCTCACAGGATGCAAACCAGTTTCTACTCCTTCAGATGCTTCTACCCGTCTTCACCAAGATGGTGGGTCAGTCTTTTCTGACATTATATCATATAGACGACTCGTTGGCAGGTTACTTTACCTCACTACCACATGACCAAATATATCTTTTGCCACTCAGCAATTGAGCCAATTTATGAGTGCTCCAACTGAGCTTCATTATAAGGTTGCATTACATGTCCTTACGTATCTTAAACAATCACCCGCTCGAGGGATTTTGTTGTCTCAAGCATCATACTTACATATATATGGATTTAGTGATGCTGATTAGGATGGTTGCATTGACACTAGATATTCTATCTCAGGCTACTTCTTCTTCATTGGTCAATCCTTGATTTCATGGAAATCGAAGAAACAAGTAACGGTTAGCTGCTCTTCAGCTGAAGCCGAATATCGTGCTTTGGCATCAGTTACTCGTGAGCTTCAATGGCTGTGTTTTCTGATGCATGACTTAAAACAACATCCCTTACACCTTCCAGTTCTTTACTGTGACACAACCAGAGTGCAATTCACATCTCTGCTAATTCTGTCTTTCATGAAAGAACTAAGCATCTAGACATAGATTGTCATCTGGTTCGCGAGAAACTGCAAGCAGGTGTCATGAGATTAGTTTCTGTGTCATCTCAAAGCTCAGATAACATATATGTTTACTAAAGCTCTTGGTCCACGCCCTTTTCATCTTATGATAATATATATATATATATATAAACTCCTCAAGTTTACACTTTGTAATGTATACAATACATAAATTCTAACTCAGTTACAAGGAAAGTTTGAAATCATAAATTTGGAGGTTATCAACATTGGATTTAGTAAAATTACTTTGCATTCTTGCGGAGCGGAATTTCCCCCAATTGATTGTTGAATATTTGGGAGGGTTACCATCGTTTGTCAACTCTTCCAAGGGCTTCACATCAGTGTAGAGTGCAGGTTTCAGAAAAAACGGAATCGATAATCTATCCTTCTCGGAGTTTACCATAACCCTATGCTCTACACTCTCATAACCATCATTGCTCCAAACCTGCATCACTTGGTTCAATATCAATTTCGGAGAATGGTTCTTCCTAATACAACTAATCTAACAAATGTGTGTCTGTGTTTAATAGAAAATAAGATGATGAGAAAAATGAGCTAGTGTTAGGTACCTGAATCATGTCACCAACATTGATGATGAAGGAATTGAAAATGGGCTTAACTTGAATCCATTCTCCATCTGATTTTCTCTTAACTTGTAAACCACCAACATCATCTTGAGCAAGCACAGTTAAGACACCAGTGTCTTTGTGACGTCCAAGACCAAGAGCTAGATGAGGGTAAGGACAAGGTGGATAATGATTAAGTCTTATATTGCTTGTGTTATGCATGAAAAAGCCACGGAACCTATTCGGTTCTAAACCTAAGCTCATTGCAATAAGTTCCATCAATTTATATGCTAGTTTCTCCACTTCTTCTGCATATTCTTGGCATGCTTCTCTAGTATACACATGTTACATATCAGACACATATTCAATATGAGAGACATCAGACACGCCTTAACATCAGACACATGTTTAATATGACAGACATCAAATATGCTTTGACATCAGACACACATTCAATATGATAGATATCAAACATGCCTTCAATCTACATAACCTATAACAAATCAATAAGAGTACAAAATATATCTAGTGGAATGATGTATATTACGATACCTGAACTCAGGAGGATTTTGAGGCCAACGATTTTCCCATTTGAACTGAAAATCTTGCTCAAGTGAAGGTGGTATAAAAGTGGGTTGTTGAACATTGAAATCATAAATCTCCTTCCAGTCTCTAACATTCTTGGTATGTTCTGCTTCAAAATAACCAAGAAAGTTAACTTCATCTCTTCTCACTTTAATCTTCTCTTCCAAACTAAGTCCAAAAAACTTCCTTGCAGATTCTTCAATTCTCTCACGTTTATCCAAAGGTACTTTGTGATTAATCACTTGGAAAAACCCCCACTCTTTACATGCTTCACCTATTTCCTTGACTAAGCCTTGGATTGAAAGTGAGGCTGTGGTGGTGGTGATGGTTTCGTCTTGGTAGTTTACGGGAGAGAGATCGATTAGAGGGATACCATGAGGAATGATAATTGAGGATTTTGGTCTGTGTTGTGGGGATTGAATAAAAGCTGAATCTGGCTGGTCTATTTCTAAATCTCCCATGGTTGTTTGTTTGATCGAACCAATGATGTTGTTGGTCACGTAATGTTTTATGTGATTCAAATGTAAGAAAAATTGAATACTATGATGTACTTTGTGTTACATTGAATTTGGACAGGTTTCTGTTATGCTCTGACTTGTTTGTTTGCAATATGATCATGGTATTTATTGCAATTTATTTATTTTATTCTTTAGAAAAACTCTCAAATGACAAATTCTAATTGATTCCGAGTGAACCTTTTATGTAAGTATTTTTGGTGACAAGAAACTTGTAACAAGTTCTGAATATATCTTTAGTTTTGTCTTATAGTCGAAGGTGTATCTAAAACACTTAAACACACTAATTAATAATTGATGTAAATGTGAATTTTAAATTAGAATAATATGTATTTGAGACAAAATTGTCCTTTATAGTTGGTTCTTTTGGATTTTATACTTTAAGATGGGTTTGTTTCAAATTATGAAATTATGTTCTTTGAAATTATATTTTTTGAAATATTATTTTTAAGAATAATATTTTCACTTATGTGTTTGAATAAAAATTATATATTTTTGAAATGTTTACAAATTTATTTAATTTAAAATTATAAAAAAAAAAAAAATTTGTGAGTAGTAGTGGAAAGTTACGTATAGTTGAGTTTATTCCTAGGGGAATGTTGGATTCCCATTCTATACCATGAGAATAATTATGAAAAAAGTTACGTGTAAACAACATTCCTAAAAATAAAAAGTACCGAAAACAATATTTAAAAATTTAAAACAAACATAGGATTATTGCATTTCCATCGTCACATTTCCGATTTTAATCCTTGAAATAAACATACCTTAAAACTTTCTTTATGGGACATTTATCTTAGTGGGTAGTTGTCAATGAATTGTATGGCTTTAATATCTAACGACCCATGATGATTGTGCGGTCTAGATGTGGTAAGCCTTTAGGGTAGATGTATCTTCTTGACTATGTTTACGTGCTGACTTCGAATGGCCCTAATTCATGTGGACTTGTCATCGACCAAACTGTAACAATAGTTTCTTGAGCCTAGATTTAAAGTTGGGCTATGACTTTGTTTACAAAGTTATTGTGGTTGGGGAAGTCCTTTAAGAACAATTGTATTAATTAGTATTTGAGGAACTTTAATACACTCCTTAGACATCATGAGCTTATACTTGAAGTTTTTCCACTGAGAACTCTATAATACGGTGGGAGAACTGACTTTACTGGTTTGCGTTTTATCACAAATGTTGCGGTTAGCAAGAGTCGCCACCGACTTTTCTTTTATCCAACAAAGGAAAGGGTGAAAAAAACAGGAAAGACATTTCGAGATTATTTTATGAGTAAGGGGGTAGGTTATGGAAAGGGAAGGTGTTAGCACCTTTTTCATCCGTAGTTATCTACGGGCTCTTAGTTGCTAGCTCATTTTGGAAATGCTTTGTGTTGTGTGTTTGAAAATATTTTTTGAAAAGACGCCTTAGTGCGGCAAACTTTGTAATGTTTCTCGTTTCGGCGAGAACGTATACAAAGTATTTTTTGTCTTTGAAAATATTTAGAAAAGAGTTTGTGTATGTGTGGAAAAATTGTTTTTTGTTTGTTTTTATGAGCAAGCAACTAGGATCTATCTACCTACTCGAAAGGTTTGTTCTTTTCCTCTTTTCCTTTAGATAGTGCTATCCTACTATTAGTGAGTAGGTAGCCATACCGTTAGATGTTTGAGGGACAAGCGAGGGTCATCGTATAGTCACGAAAGCAAAGATACTTTAGTAATTACCCTAAATTTTAAGATCATATATCGAGGCAACATCGAAAGGATCATCGTGAGACTTATGATCTTTAAACCAAAGGGTTACCACTAAAATCTCTTAGGTTCGAGAGTGGTGACTGTTTGTTTTTCCGAAGGCAACAAGTGGAGATACCTTAGAGGTGCGAGTGTGTTGTGTTTCAGTTATTTTTCCTTAAAAATTTAGGTTTAACTACCGTTTGTTTCCAGATCTTTTCATACAAGCCTATTAGCATTCATCTAACAGTTAAATATATGTACAAAAAATAAAAGTGCGAGAATTTAAGTTACACTATTACAAGGCTTTGGGGTGGGGGATTTGCAAACCAAATGCGGGGGAAAGAAAAGTAAAGATCCTAATTGAAACTATTACATCCTTTATGCAGTTACATAATTCGAAATAAAATGCAAATAAAATAAATTACTACGCGGAGAAGAGAAAGCTCTAAAAATATCTAAGTGACAAAAGAAAGAAATATTTTTGCTTGTTTTTGTAAATATAATTGAATTGTAAACCTAATTCTAATTGAATTTTAATTCACAAAATAAACTCAAAATGATTAAATTAATAAATTTTATTGTAAAAATAAAGTTTAATTAATTAAATCCTAAATCTAATATTTATTTAATTTTATGATTTTTTAGTAAAATGGAAAAAAATTAATTAAAAAGAAAAGAATTTAAATGAGATATTTAAAAAGAAAAAGTAAAATAAAGAAAGAATGGGCGTGCAACAAGCAAACTGGGGGGGGGGGGGGGGGGGGGGGGGGGCGCAATATGGAAGTCCTTAGGCCCAATAACAAAGTGAACATGAGCTGGAAAAAAAAGGTTAGGGGGGTGAGATCTAAAAAAACGTTAGGCCCAACAAAAAAGAGGCCCAGACATTGGTTGGAATCTGCGTGCTCCCATGTTTTGCTCTAGGGAGGATCCACCACGGGCTACGCGTTTTGAGAGTGTCAAATTCGCATCTAAGGGCTGCAGAGCTGAGGGTGCATAACTATTGAGGATATGCGTTGCATAGGATCTGAAATGCATTTATTAGAAAAAATAAAACTCCCCCATGCCTGGGTCGAACTCAGGAGATGGGGGAGGTCTGCCTTATGCGCATGTATTCTACCACTGGGCCAACTGTTGTTTCATTGATTCAAATAAAAACGAATATTAATATTATTAAAACACAAATAATCAAAAAAAGTCAAAACGCACGCGTGGGACATTTGAACGGACCAGTGATGAGAGGACACACCTGCCACCAGAGTCAACTTTCCCGTTGTTTTCTTCGGTGGCTCAAAGATCAAACCTACAAAAATAGCGACAATTAAGGAATCAAAACAACCCCACCCCCCTTAAAAAATTGCCCTGAGTCTGAATTTGGGGTTATTTTTATCTGAATCATTCTACATTATGAAATCAAACCAAACCTTTTTGATGCCCTAGCGATGGTATGTATAGATCCATACATTAGAGCTTGTATCTAAAGGTCCAAACATGTCTAAAGCTTCATCACTAATACACATAAACACATGGAATCAATTAAATATGCTTAGATCAATATTTCAAGTTTCAAAAATATGCTTACAACCAGCGTGCTTAGAACAATGATTCTAGGCGTGAAATGGTTTGACAAAAGGGTTAGATTCGTTCCTGGGAACCTCAGGAGGAGTGTTTGATCACTTGTTTGGACTGCAAATGCCTGAAAGTGAAGACGCGAAGTTGACAACTTTTGATAATTTTTGAGAATTATGGAGCTTCTTTCAGGCATTATTTTGTGTCCTTGGCTTTCCATCTTGTCTTGTATTTATAGAGGAATGTAGAGATACACAAACATGCCAAGAATCAAAGCATTAAGGCCCCTTTTCAAAGCAATATCAAACATATTAAAATGTTTCCAAGCTTGTGAAATCCTTTCCATTTTTTACATGCAATGAACCTGGTCCTCTTCTATGTATTTTGCACAAAAATATGGGCTTCTCAATGGATCCAACCAATCCCAAATGCCATGGCCCACTATTTCTTGCATTTTTATCTTAATTTATTTAATTTTAAATTAAATAAAATCAAAATAAATACAAATAAAATTAAGGACATTCAAAAATATACTTATAGTTCCTCTAAGACATTATGGACATGTTTGAAGTCCAAAAAGTAGGCTCATTGGTCTAAAAATGCAATTTTGCTCAATTTGTACTTCTTGAATTTCTTCAAAATTCCCAAACTTGTGCAAACCATAAATTTCTCAATTTTCATCTTTTGAAGATGATATTAGACTTTTTGGAAAGCCCAAGATGTCCTCTACAATCTCTATGTTTACCATTTTTGATTTTGAAGATATTATCTTGATGTAAGTTGTCTTGACAAAAAGTGTCTTTTGTTGACTTTTGAAAATGACCTATAATGTATGAGCTCATATCTTCCAAATGAAGCATTTTTTGGACTTGAGAAAAAAAGCAAAGCTGTAGAGAATTGAATTTTTTTCAAAATGAGCTTTGGTTTGGAAAAAGTTGATGAAGCATGTTGAAGTTATCCCTAGTCAAAGTTCAGTTGACTTCTCCTAAGGAAACCCTAATTTGACAATTCTTGACTTTTGATGACCTGAGGACTTTCCTTGGGGAATCATGATCAAACCTTGATAAAATGATGAATATCACTTCAAAATGTTGATGTTGACAAAAACTCTTAAAGTTTGCCTGTATGTTGACCATAGTTGACTTTTTAACCAATATAGTTGATTTTCAAACATTTGAGTCATTGACTGGGAAAACTTGTCATGTAGGGCTTGAAACTTGACATGAAACTTGTTGAGGACCTATGAAGAAACATGGAAGCCAATTAAGACCTTTGCAAACCAAATTTACTTGAGAAACTCCAAACCCTAGTTGTGGGCCTTTGGTTTAGGAGGTGCATCTTGACTAGTTAACCCTTGAGTGTTTTGATCATTTGAAGAGCCTTGAAATAATGGTTTGAGAAAAGTGAGAGGGAAAATTTTGGGGTACAACAGCTTCCCCTGTCCAATCTTCTTAAACCTGAAGAGTTAGATTGGCATGTCGGCCATTCATGACTCGAAGGTAGAAGATGATTGAACACTTAAGTGCCCAGAAATTTGCACTTGCATATGCAAGAGGTAACACTTTTGGTTGATTGTAGCAGGAATGGGCTTAGAGATGCCATTTGGAGGGGTGACGGAGAATCATAGAAGATAAGCTTATAGATGTCATCCTAAATAACTGT